GGGGGCAGGGCAGAGGCACGCGGCAATCGGGCAAGGGGCAGGGCAGCGGCAGGGCAGAGCGGGCAGCAGCCGGGCAGCGAAAAATTCAAAATTTTTTAAAATAAACAGGTTTGCGTGCGCCGGGTTAACCCGAACCCGACCCGTTTGATAAACGGGTCGAATTTTAGAACCCGAACGGGTCGGGTACAACCCGGATTTTTCGGGTCGGATTTTCGGGTCGTGTCAAATATTAACACGCAGATCTGGATATAGGCTGGGTTGTTTGGTATATTTAATTCAACTATAAGTTCCTAAATTTAAAATTTTGATGATCTCTAATTTAATTTTTGTAATTTCCATTAAAAAAATTGCTTTGAGATTCTGACTTGATCAAGTGAATTTTATGTTCCAACAAATAAATAAACATTTTATGATAAATATATAAGTTCCCAAAATTTATTTAAAAATAATAATCTTTCCAAAGGTTAGGGTCAACTTGCATAAATCAACGACTCTGCCACTTGTTTTCAAAAAAAAGTTCTTATTTTCTCTCAGAGAATGCCAATTGAGGTACGAGAGTCCGTCTGCAGATCAAGCTCCATTTCCGATCTCTCCGCCGAAGACCGATAACAGGGCGAGTTTCCTTCATCTCGATCTAATTCTTCACTTAGCCATCTTTGCAAAATACTGTAGCAGTTTTTTCCTTGATAATTTCGATCGTAGAACCCCCTTATCGAATTTCTTCTCTGGTACCGAGTTAATGGCTTTCTTCGTCCACTCTCAAACATTTTCATCGCAGCTTCCATTTTTCTGTTTTTTTTTATTCGACGAAATTTATATTTTTTTTCCGCATTTAAAGGCCGTTCGGCAGATTTGTAATTTCTGAAAATTAGTTGATATGATATGTATTTGGTTACTTATTTCAAGAATTAGGAATTTATATTTTGAGATATTTATTATATTAATTTAGCTTAATAAAATATTAATTAAGTTGTAATTAGTGAAAATAAAATTTTACTTAATCATATGTTTGTAATTTATTGAAGTAATTGAATAGTAACTTTATTTATTAATTTAATCATTAATACTGATTTTTCAGTTTTGTATATGCTAATTATATTATGATTAATTTAGTTGAACCTTTTATTAATTAATAATTAATTGTTTATAAATTTAATTAAATATAAAAATGTATATTAAATTAATTATTTATATATTATTAATATTAATTATGAAATTAAAATGATAAACTTTTAGCAGATACGCTCGGGTTTGTCCCTACCGAAACCCTCGACGAAAGAACGGAGCGCAGAAGTCGCGACGGGAGATTGGTGGCGAAGACATCGGCGTGATCGCGGCGGAGGTAAAAGGGATTTTGATGCGTAGGATTTATTTTGAATTTTTTTGACCTAAAATCCTGCTTAAATCCTTTTGCAAGGCGGCAAATCAAACAGAAATATAGCTGCTACAAATCCTAGCCACATAGTGTTGGGATTTTTTGCAGGAAAGGATAACTTAAACGACCGCTTAGGGTTACAGAAGATAACGGGAAAATGTCGGGCCAGGGGCAGAGGCTTAACGTGGTGCCGACGGTGACGATGTTGGGCGTGATGAAGGCGCGGCTGGTCGGCGCTACCCGCGGGCACGCTCTACTGAAGAAGAAGAGCGATGCTCTTACCGTTCAATTCCGGCTGATCCTTAAGAAGATAGTCTCCACGAAGGAGTCTATGGGCGACATCATGAGAGCCTCCTCCTTCGCCCTCACTGAGGCCAAGTACTCCGCAGGAGACAATATCAAACACGTAGTGTTGGAGTCCGTTCGTTCTGCGTCAGTCCGTGTTCGTTCCCGGCAGGAGAACGTTGCAGGAGTGAGGCTCCCTAAGTTTGAACACTTCACTGACTCTGCTGCTGACTCCAAGTCTTCCACTGACCTCACTGGCCTTGCTCGAGGTGGGCAGCAGGTGCAGGCCTGTCGTGCAGCTCACATCAAGGCTATTGAGGTTCTTGTTGAACTTGCCTCTCTCCAGACGTCCTTCCTCACCCTTGATGAGGCCATCAAGACAACTAACCGAAGAGTTAATGCGCTTGAGAATGTTGTCAAGCCCCGTATTGAGAACACAATTAGCTACATAAAGGGGGAGCTGGACGAGCTTGAGAGAGAGGATTTCTTCAGGCTTAAGAAAATCCAGGGATACAAGAAGAGGGAGGTAGAAAGGCAAATGCAGGCAGCTAGGCAGTTTGCAGAAGAAAAGCGTGCGGAGGAGGTTTCACTGCAGAAGGGGATATCTTTCCTTGCTGCACATAATCTTCTTGTTGCTGGGGCAGAGAAGGACGAGGACATTATCTTTTAATGGACACTTGATGTTTTCTCATTAGGTCAGCAGCGATTAAATCCTTTCTGTTTGCTCAAAGCGTTTTATGATATCCGAATAAACGATTTACTGCAGTTTGTTTGTAATAATTTTGTAGATGAGCTGGTTTTTCTTTGTATCCTTTGTTATTTGAATGATTTCAATGTGTTTTCTGAATTACATTTATGTCAGATTTACTGTTTTCTTGTGTGCCTTGCTTCTCAAGTTATACGAGGGTGAATGTTTAGGTCTTCTTTAATCTGTGGCCTGGATTTTAGTTGTTTTAATTGGTCCTATTTAGCCAAATAATAATCTCTACTGTTCCAAATCAGACAATCCAAGGTAATGACTTTGTTCAATACATTTAATTCAAATACTTAAGACAGACCCTGATTTCGAAGTTCAAGGGACTTTAATCGAAAGCGAGATTAAGTAAATTCAGATCGAGATATCTATGAATCTACTAATATTTGTTATGCAAATCCGGAAAGTGTTTGGTAGCCAAAAGACGTGATTAAAATTAGCCCCATGTTTTGGTAATAGATCATATGGATTAACTCATGTGATTAACACATGGTATTTTGGATATTGTATTAAAATTTAAATACTTAAAATTTGTTTTCAATTTGAGTATTGCTTAATTTAATTATATCCTGTTAAATTGATGTGATTAGAATTATCATATAAATCTCGGTGGGTTATGCATGTACTAAAAAACCGTGAAAAAAAGTTGCACCAATAATGTTACACAAATGTAAAACTCAAGTGGGATGAATTGAGTTCAAGTTGTCATGAGCCTCTTATTTTTGTATCCCTCTTTTTTCACACCATACCTCATTTAACTTGAGAAGTTCGGATTGTAAATAAATAGGGAAGTGGGATTATGGTATAATCAATTATGCCCTACCAAGCCCCCATCTCACATTTGTGGGATTTGCTAATCCTTGACCCATCTAGGTTTTTAATATAAAATTCTTTGGTTTGGTAAGACTTGGGGTTTCTTATCTTATTCTTGTAATCCTCATCAAGATTATAGTATTTTATTTTTTGAATGAGTGTTTGAAAAAAATGTGTGAGGTAACTAATGCTTAGATTCCAAACTTTTTTATAATTGGAAATCATACCAAACCAAGTTCTCGAGGATTGATTGAGCCATTATAGTAAATCTTCAGTTTGCAAATTTTGTTAGTAGTTGCTTGAGTTTCAATGCTAGTGGAAAACTTGATGTATAATGCTTCATCTAGGTTTCCATTGAGGAATTCATTGTTTACATCAATTTAGTGAAGACACCAATCTAAGTTGGCTACAAGGGAAAGAAGCACATGAATGGTATTGAGTTTGGTTACAAAGATGTTTTTTTGCTGATGATGATCTCGGAGAATATGCTAATGTTCAGTTAATTGTTTCCTTTGTTTTCATATTATGGTACTAGAGCAAGTATAATTTTATTATGACATCGTTGAGAGATTACACGTGTATGTTAAAGTGGATAAATAACTCAACCTTACTAGTTATGAAAATAAAAACCACACTTAACCAGGAAACAAATAAACTAACCAGTCCTTATAAAAATGAAGGATACTAATTATACTAAAAATACATATGGGCAAATCTTAGGAGAATATTCCAATGCGAAATCTCAACTATAAATGTTAAAAGATTTGTTGACCTCATTATTCGAGATCAATTTTCCTAAAACTCATCTCTAGTGCCTAGGTCTTCGTAGCCTAGTGTAGACGTCGCATTTAGGATCCCTTTTAAGTGGATGCCTTTGACGTAGCATTGACTCAACCTCCTGACTCGACTTAAATTATCGCTACTCTAAATAAAATTGACTCGACGCGAATTTGATTTAACGACTACGGCTTCTATCAATCTCAATTAATTTGTCTCAAACCCATTAAGATTAAATCAAAATTATTAATCTGTTAATTTTGTGAGTTTTTTTTTTCAAGAGATTTGGAAATTATGAAAGTGGTGTATGTGAATTGTTATCCTTCTCTCTCTCTGCCTATTCCTCTTGTCTTTTCCCTTTCTACTCTTCTTCCATCGCCTTAGCATGAGCTTCAAAATTTGCAAAATATTATTTGAAGTTGCAATCTTGATAGATGTGGTGTATTGTTGATAAATCCAAGTGAGATGTGTGAGTTTGTTAGAAATTCTACATATGCTTTATATTTCAACTTTCGAGAATGTGTGATCGGAGTTGTATGCTTTATATAATATAAAAAATGCACGGGTCTTTGGGAAGAATGAAGCGACATCAAATTTTCTTTCTCATGATTGTTGTTGGAAAAGTTTATGGGGACTTGTATGCATCAATGATGTTTTCTTTAGTACACTAGCATGCAATTGGGTTAAATATGCATGTACACGGGTCTTATACTTTAAGGTTTTATTTCTATTCATGTATATGTGATATAAAAAAGTAAGTTGGGTAATTACATTGGTAGTATCCTTTGAGTTTTAGAAAGAAGTTTGTTGCTATTGTTTATTTCATTCAATCTTTTGCAGATATTCAGGTTGAGATATGGTTTTTGTAGAGGTGAACAAAGTGATTTGCATATTCTCATACGGTGGTTTGAAAGAGAAGTTGGTGCTTTTAGAATGACATGGATTTTATGTACATTGAAGGATTTGGTGCATTCTATTATACTTTATATTCATGCATGAGAAAGTTTTAGTTACTTATTCTATACAATTGTAATATGAGTTGTCACATGTTGTGTTTGGGAAAGAGAGGTGATGGAATCTTGTTGTGCATGCATAAAAAGAAGCGAATGTTTGCTAAGAGAAATGTGTGTATTGGAAAGTAAAAGGTGTTAGAAAGTGAAATGTGCATATGAATTTTGGAAGGTAAAGTGTATGTATATTTTGAAAAATGAATTGTGTGATTTTGGAAAGTGAAGTGTATATGTATTGGAAAGTGAAGTGTATATGTATTGGAAATTGAAATGTGTGGAAGGGTATATATATTTTGAAAGGTGAAGTGTATGTGATTTGGAAAATGAAGTGTGTTTGTATTGAAAGTTGTTTTGTGTGTAAGTTGAGAAGTATGTGTATTGAAAGACGAAGTGTGTGAAAAGTGAAAAATGAATTGTGTGTATTGAAAAGTGTTTTGTGTAAGTTGAGAAGTGAAAACTATATGTGTTTAAAGGTGAACTGCATTGAGAAGTAAAGTGCATGAACTTTGAATAGTGAAATGTGTGAATTTTGGAGAGTTAAACATGTGTATTTTGGAAAGTGAAATGTATTAAAAGATGAAATATATGTTTTGAAAGGTGAAATGTTTTGGAAAGTGTGTATGTTAAAAAGTGAGCTGTGGGAATTTTGGAAAGTGATATATGTAAAATTTTGGAAGTTAAAAGTGTGCAAGTGTTGAATGATGAAGTGTATGATTTTGAGGGTTTTGTGTTGGAAAGTGTAAGGATTTTGAAAGAGTGAAGTGTGTGTATGTGAACAGTAAAGTGAAGTGTGTGAGTTTTGAATGGTGAAGTGTATGATTAAGTGAAAAGTGAAGTGGATTTTGTGTATAAGTTGAAAGTGAAATGTGTGTTTTGGAAGATGAAGTATGTGAAAAGTGAAGTGGATTTTATGTATAAGTTGAATAGTGAAATGTGTGTGTTTTGGAAGATGAAGTATGTGAAAAGTGAAAAGTGAAGGGTGAAAATTGAGAAGTGAACTGTGTGAGCATTTTAAAATGAGTTGTTTGGATGTTTGTTAGGAAGTGAAGTTAAAAAAAAAAAAGCTTAGCTCTCTTTCTCTCTCTCCCTTTCTTCTTCTGCTTCTTCTCCCCCTTCTTGTGCCTCGGGATAAATTTTAGAAAACTATATAAAACATCTTCGAAACCGAAAATTCCAAAAGCAAAGTCTTAAGGAAAACATCAATTCGGGATCTTTAATCTTAAGAGATACTAAATAAGGCTTATCTTAGATATGAATAGTTTGAATTATATTTAGCATTCTTCCTAATAGGTCTTGTGCTCTATGCATTGATACCACTAAGACAACAAAATTTGCACATCGTCTTTATCTTTTATTAGGTGAACCAACACTAGTATAACATAAGATCAACCATGATCATATTGAAGGAATTATAATGGATGAAATTCTTAAAAATTCTCCAGATCTTGTTGTACGCTATGAACATGGTTATTATATCCAAAATGACAATCTATCATGTGTTTTATTGGCACCAGATCTTGCACCACCAAAGCCATTAAGTGAGGCTGAGTTAGAGGTTAAATTTTATAAATCATAGTTTTCGTTATGTTTTTTATTTTTCTTCAGTATTATCCTACCCTCTAGAATTTAAGGTGCATGTTGAACTAGAATAACATTTAGGGCGATATTCATACATACCACATTATTTTTTGTATATGATATCAATACCTAAACTTTTATATTTGTAAAACATTTTAGTATCTCAACCACATTCATTTGTATGTATGAAAATGTGTATTTCATTTAAAAAAAGTTAATATTAATTAGTTTTTTGATATGTTTTAAATATTTTGGTGTTATATTAATAAATATCAATGTTAATGTCTTAGATATATAAATATATAGAAATTCTGTGGTATGTTTGCAGATCTCCTAATATCTTATTTATTGCTACTAAAATGTGCTCCTAGTTTTCCTTTTAGAAAAAAAAATTTGCTTAATCAACAAGAAGTTTTACAGACCCATTGGGTTTGTTTTATTTGAAAGAATTGGAGGGAATGCAAATGAATTTTATTTCCAAATAAATATTGGATGTTTGTCTCTAATGTAATTTATAGGAATATGATTTTACAAAACGAACCCAAAACATAAAAAGCAATTATTCTATGTTAACAGATTTTTATCTTTTTATTGGTCCATTTTCTTTTGCCAACATGGTGTTTCTAACAAAAGCTAGTGTCGGTTGTCCATGCTCTTTCTTAAAAACTCTGATTGATTTCTCATTTCATTATATTTTCCCTGCTTTATTTGCACCAACAAATTTTCTACCTGGTTTAACATGTTTTATTTATTCATTCTCGAAGCTTATGTTTTCTTATCGTTATGTCACTTGTTACATTTAGCTTTTTCAGATGCACATAGCAGGACACAGGCTTTGTTTATACTTGCATTCAAGCTCAATTGAATATTATTTGATTTTCCAGAAACATACAAGACTATTTTATGCATGAAGTTGCAAACTGAACGGCCCTTAGGCATGATTGCAAGATGTAATGCAGCTGTTGGTATCTTTTATATCAAGCAATACTTGAAGTACTTCACGGTTTGATTGCTTGACTATGCTTAGCAGCACTATCTAATGTCATTTTGATATTTTTGGTGATGAATCAGAATCAGTTATATTGAGTGATGATATGTGGATATTTACAAATTTTTTTTGCGATCATTTATGAGGAGAGAAATTAAAGTTTACTATTGCGGGTTTCCTTAGAAGAGTAGTGTAAGATTTTTCATCATTTTTACCCAAGTGTTTTTGGTTTCAAATAATAGAAACTTTTCAATGTTGGCGCATCTAATTTGGAACTTCTGAAATTCCTTTTTCCTAGGAGGGTTTGTTTTAAGTTTCTCAAAGTTTGTTCGAAGTAATATGATATGGGATGATATAGGGTCTGAGTCTGATGCTTTTTTGGTATGCATTGCTATTAGACACTTATTTCAGAAATTTTAGATAACAATAAACTTATGCAAGAAAATGTGCAAAATTCATGAAGAAAATGTGTAAATCACAAACTACTATTTACTTCTAACGATGAAAGCACAAATACATGAAATCCAATTCAAATGACAAGATTTTGTCCTTTTGTTGTAATTTCTATGCATAGGAAGGAAACCTGACTCGAAAAAGACATTAGATTGTCTCTTGAGACCTAGGGTATCCTAGGGCAGGTAATTTGTAATAGAACATTGGGGGTTGAAAGAAATGAATCACTAAACACAAGTAAAGAAGAGAGAAAGGGAGAAACTGGAGATGGTATTAATTAATTATAAGAAGGTCTCATGCCTGAGCATGGAAATTGACTTCTAGAAGGTTTTAGCTCATATTTGATGAAGAATCATAATCTTGGAGTTAATCCAGTGGGACCTCTCATGTAAAGTAAGACTTTTATTCATTCTTTAGAGTAGTTTCGTTTTCTTAGAGCATTTATTTAAATGCCTCATGAAATATAAATGGTGATAAGTCATCCTTAGGGATAGAAGCTTGCTGGAATTTAACTAAAAAATTTGTAGAGTAACTGTTGGAAGAACATAGAATTTGGATAACGCCGGAGCAGCTGCAGAAAGTGCAAGAATAGGAATCCCGAAGAATAGGAATCGTCATTGCCCACACCCATCTTAAATATTTTGTAAGGCAGATTAATCTCAATAGCAGTACTAGTTAGTGCTTAAAAAATAGCAATCGCATAAGGCCTTGTAGAATAGGAATATAAATCTCTGTTTAAAATTGCGCAATAAGAGGCGCGCCTCTGCACAATTTTACCCAAAACTGCCTCGAGGCTTACGCTATTCCCCTTATGGCAGAGGCATACGCCTCACTTGGACTGAGGCGCGCCTCAGATGCGCAATTCTAGTAGAGGCGTTCGCCTCATGGGAAATGGCCCACCCACTTAAAATGAAGTGTTTTTTCTTGCTTGAACCCTCACGGCTCCAGATCTCCCGAAATTTTCCTTCCCCGCACGCTGTTTTCGCGAAACAGAGAGGTCCCTCTCCCGTCGGCTTCCCTTCCTGCCGCTTCTCCCACCAGCGCCGCCTCTCTCCGATGAAGTTGAAGTTTCCGCCGCCCTCTAAGAGTACTCCACATTGAATTTTAGGTATTTTTTTTTTAGTTTAGGGTTTAGATTTTTTAAGTGTAAGAAAATCCAGGGTTTATATTTTTTTGATTATTTTTGGATTTTTGCTTTAGGAGAAATGGTTAGAGGTAAAAAAAAGACGAATATGTCATTACGGCGTGACCTTTCTTGAAAATATAACGTGCAAGTTGACGTAGGAGGGGGAGAGAAGACATATGTCTATTTAAAATGCAATTTTTGTGAGAAAGTGGTGAAGGGCGGAGTAACCCGCATGAAGGAACACTTATCTTGCTCTCATAAGAACATAGCACCGTGTGCAAAAGTGCCAAACAATGTGAAGGATGAAATAATTGCTTACATGAAGAAAACTACCATGGAAAAACACTTACAACAGGAGCAATTTGATGATAGGGTCGAACATGGTGCTTACTTCGAGAGCGAGAGTGGAAATGACTCTTCCTCCACTATACATAACAGAAGTGCACGTGGTCCTATGGATCAATATAATGACTAATCCAGAAGAGGATAGAGGACAAGCACAAATGGTGCCTGCAGCTGGTACTAGAGAGGGTCGACGCCAGATTTGCATGGATATTGGCAATTTTTTTTTTTGAAAATGCCATACCATTTAATGTTGTTACGTCGCCTGCCTACTTCAATATGCTGCGGTCTGTAGGGTTGTATGAGAGAGGGTTGAAGACACCTTCAATGTATGAGTTGCGAACATGGATTTTGAAGGAGTTGTAGAATACAGAGCGGAGAATTGATGAGATTAAACGGACATGGATTGAGACTGGTGTTACCATTATGTCAGATGGATGGTCTGACATGAAGAGCAGGAGCTTGATTACATCCTTGTCAACAATTCCTACGGCACGGTGTTTTTACGATCAGTTGAAGCTTCAGAGGAGGTGAAAAATGCCACATTCATTTTCAGTTTACTTGATGGGGTTATTGAGGAGATTGGGGAGCAATTGGTTGTTCAAGTAGTGACTGATAATGCCAGTGCATACAAAGCAGCTGGTCAGATGTTGATGGAGAAAAGGGCACACCTATATTGGACCCACTGCGCAGCACATTGTATCGATATCATTTTGGAGGATCTTGGTGACTTACCTCAGCACAAGAGCGCTCTTTCTAGGGCGAAGAAGATCACAAAGTTCATCTACAATCACTCATGGATCTTAGCCTTGATGAGAAAGTTTTCAAAGAAGGAGGTTGAGGAATAAGGGGTTGAAGGATGATGAGGACCCGTTGGTGTGTGATGATGTGTCATCTGATAATGAGTGGTTCATAGATGATGAGACAGATTTGCCTTTATCAGACTTAATGCTAGACGATCTAAGTGTGGATGTCTTGAAGGGCGAAGCAGATCAAGTGGGCACATCCACTAGTACCACACCACACACATCCACTAGTTCTGCAGCACAACAATCAAGTAAAGGTATTCCAAACTTCACTTATTATGCTATTGTATTATATTTATATCAAGTGAGCAATTAACATGATAATGATCTTTTCTCTTATTGAACAAGGAAAGAAAGTGAGTCATATGAGATGATGAGAAAGAAATTCCCTTGAAGACCCATTTAGTGATGGATATGATTGCATTTATATAGTTTTTTGTATTTGGAGTTTTGTTAAACTAATATTGTGATTTTTGTACTTTGGGCATGATTTATTACATATATTCTTACTTCTCACTATTTCATATATCATTTAGATGTTTTTTATTGTAAGATAGAATATTGTTATTATTTTTCCTGCTAAAACTCTTATTTCTCATTTAGCAATTCTGTGTCTGTGAGGCTTATGCCTCAGACCGCCTCGGGCTTACGCCTCGCCTCACGGATGAAAACCGCCTCGAGGCTAATTACGCAATTTTAAACCTTGAATATTTTTAATACTCGATCCTTAAATAAACAAGCTTGAACACTAATTGTTCGGTTCATTTATGTTCACGAACAACATCATTTGAAGTTCGTGAACAAGCTCGACATTAAGCTCGATAAGAAGTTCGATTTGTTCAATTCAGAACTAGTGAATAAGCTCAATAAAAACTCGATTAATATTTAATTATAAAATATATAAATATACATAATATAAATATTTTAATTTATTATAACATAATGATATAATTATTTTAATTAATAAATTTTAAATTAATTAAAAATTATTATTATATATTATAGTTTTAATTTCCTTACAATTGCTATTTTATTATATTACATCATTAGATCTTGCTCATTTGACAGCTCAGGAATACTCGTTAGATTTGTTCATGAACATGCTTGCTTGATAGTTTAAAAAAATTTGCTAAATATGTTCACGAACAAAGCTCGTTAAGGCTTGTTTGTTTAAAGCTCGATAAGCACTAAACGAACCGAACATGAGCCGAACATGAACCAAACATGAACACCATTAATTTAAACGAACCAAACATGAACCCAAACAATAAAGCTTGAATCAGACACGAATCGAACTTGAACAAGCTAATAATAAACGAACACAAACATAAACACTCACATACTCGGCTCGGCTCAGTTCGTTTGCAGCCCTACTCTTTAGGTCTACATTTATCTTGTTTAACATAAGCCAAATATAATACATTTACTCTCAAATATATCTACCAATGTAGAACACCGTGTAAAAAAAATTATATATGGCTTGTTTGGTTTAAAGTAAAATGTTTATTCTAAATGCAGATGTTTTGAAAATGTTAGTGTTTTATCCAGAGTAAGAAGAAATGTAGAGTAAAATTTTAAAGTATTTGGACTTCATCTTCTATTTCAATTTTGGTGTATTTGAAAATCATTTGATTTGACTGATTTTCAAAGACATTATAAATTATGTGTCATTGTCATAGTGGCTTTAAAGATAATTAAGTATGAACAAGTAGTAAGATTTGATGATATTTCAATAGAAATGTGGAAATGTTTAGGAGATTAAGAAATTCTTTGGCTTACTAAGCTTTTGAATATTATTTTAAAAAGATAAAATAAAAATTGCCAGATGAGTGAATAATTGATATCTATTTTTAAGAATGAAGATAATGCATAAGAGTATACAAATTACAGGGAAATTAAGTTAGTGTGTCATACATTAAAATTATGGGAGAGAGTAATTGAGCATATGTTATGACGTGATACTAATGCTTCTCAAAATCAGTTTGGATTCATGCTGGGCGAGTTTAATACGGAAGTTATACATTTGCTGAGAGGTTTGATGGCGAAGTACAATGAGAGTAAGGAGGATCTACATATAATATTTATTAATTTGGATAAATAAAGTTTTAGTAGAAGTGCTTTGAAGAGTTATAGAAAGAAAGGATTTAATAATCCTTATATTCAAGTTATTAAGGATATGCATATATGAGCTGTTATTAGTGTTCAAACACAAGGTGGCTTGACCAAGTATTTCCCAATTTCAGTTGGATTATATAAAAGATTAGCTTTAAGCCTTTGTCTTTTTGCTTTAGTTATGGATGCTCTTACCTGACATCTGCAAGATGATATACCTTTTTGTATGCTTTTTATTGGTGAAATTTTTCTTGTTGATAAGACTGGAGAGGGAGTTGATGGAAAACTTGAATTATGGAGGTCAACCTTAGTGTTTAAATGTTTATGTTTTAGTAGATCTAAAACCAAATGCATGGACTGTAATTTTAGTTGTAATAAATCTAGTCATGGAATTGTGCATTTGGGTTAACAAGTCATCAAGAAGAGTGAACGTTTTAGATGTCTCGAGTTTATTGTTTAAAATGATGGCGAAATATATGGGGATATTGTTAGTATAATTTAAGTTGGATGATTGAAGTGGAGGAATGCATCAGGCCTGTTGTGTGATAGATAAGTAACCCTTAAATTAAATGAAAGTTTTTTAAGTCAGTGATGAGACTAGTAGTGCTTTATGGCGCAGAATGATAGCCATTAAAAGAGAAACATAAAATTAACTTAAGTGATGCTGAGATGAGGATGCTCATGTGGATGAGTGGCTTTACACTCATAGATATCATGCAAAACAAGCATATATGTGAAAATGTTGGAGTAGCTCTAGTGATACATAATATTAGAGGGAGTCGCGTTAGATGGTTTGATCACATAAAATGTCGGCCTTCTGATGACTCTATCTGGTGAGTAGATGTATTATATTCGACCTATGTTAAGTAAGGTCGAGGGAGACCTAAAAAGACTTTGTTATAAAGTATTAAATATTACCTTTTTTATTAAATTTAAAGGAGAATTTGACTCTTTATAGAACTTTTTTTTGGAGAAAAATGATTCATGTAGCCGATCCCACGGAGTGAGATATAGATGTCACGACCCGGCCGCCCGAGTTAACGAGGCGGGAACAGACGGTCGTACGGTAAACACTTAAAACTTTCATTTTAACATAAACATCAATATGCTCAAATATTCATACAACAAAATTTAAAAGAGCCACTAAACATCTATTTCAACCATCTCTACAACAACAACAACATCAAGCCTTTATCCTACTACGTGGGGTTGGCTACATGAATTCTTTTTCTCCATTGTGTCCTATTAAAAGTCAAATTCTTGTTTAAATCTAATAAAGAAAGGTCATTCCTAATATTTTATAACCAAGTCTTTTTAGGTCTACCCCTACCTTTCTTTACACAAGTCAAATCTAATACCTCTACTCTCCTAACCGGGTCATCGGAAGGCCGCCTATTTATGTGACCAAACCATCTAAGGCGACTCTCTTTAATTTTATCTTCTACTGGAGCTACTCCAACCTTTTCATGTATATGCTCATTTCGTATCCTATCTCTAAGGGTAAAGCCACTCATCCACCTAAGCATCCTCATCTCTGCCACACTTAACTTAGTATTATGCTTCTCTTTTAATGGCCAACATTCGGCACCATAAAGCATTGCAGGCCTCACTACCATCTTATAGAACTTTTCTATTACATCAAAAATAATCTCTCATAAACAGAAAACAAAAATAGTACAATAGTATTATAAATGACCGCTAGAGATTGACATAGAAGCAGCCAGCCATAGAAACTAGATGGTCATCATATGCATCTAAGGCTTCGTTTGGGATTGCTTTTTTACTGCGTCTTAAAAACTAAAAAGCTACTTTAAGAATCAGTAAAAAAATCTTCCCAAACGAAACCTAAATATATATTCTAAACTAATTGTTTACAAGTCAAACTTCAAAACGCCAAAATCAAAATATAAACTAAAAAGTTTATAGTCAAAATTCAAAATGATTGACGTAATATAAATATTTTATGGTTCCAATGATTGTGGTCTTTGAGTTTCCAATCACAGCAATTGTGTCTGTCTAGTTGGAAGAAAAAAAAAAAAAAAACTATCACTAGTACTGTCCAATATTTAATTAGTTTCATGTAATCTCCGAAGTAGACTAGACAAGTTTTCATATCTGAGAGGTTCGATAAAGGTTCTTATTCTTTTCCCTACCTCTTATGTCATTACGAAATGGTAGGTGTTTTTTCTGACATCTCAAAGTAAAAATTTCTTAAATCACAATTAAGTCCTAATGCAGTGACATCCAGAAATAACCCAAATTGAGTGGCATCTAATGTCAGAACTTCTCAACGTTGTGGATGCTCGTTCTCTTACCCTCTGCCTTGGTTTATTGCCTGCACTCTGAATCTTTAGTTATTAGCCATTTTTTAAATTATTTTTGTTGCATGTGCTTCTTAGCCGCTTGGGTGATATTTCTTAGGCAACATATGTAAGCTTCTATCTTTGATTTGAAAACTATTTTAACTTAGAACATTCAGGTCTGAGGCTTTGTTTACGTTGCTATATGGTGCTGTGGAATGAGCTCTAAATACTTGATTACTGTAAGATTTTCTTTGGATAAGGAAGTTGACGATTGCTAATCTAAGGCACGAAGTAGAGATGAGTTTGCTAGTGCAACTATTAGGGGTTTAAAACATCAGAGACTAGAGTTTCTTCTTTCTCTTTTCTGATATCATAAGAGATTCGAGCCTCTCTTACTATCCCTATCTTACAAAGTAGAATGTTCAAATCGAATTGTTTGGCTGAGATGGGTGATTGCTTCTAGGGGTGCAAATGAGTTGAGTCGAGTTACAGTCAAGGGGTGTTCGAGTCGAGCTCAACTGTCAAATACCGAGCTTGAGCTCAAACTCGAACTTGAGTCGAGCTCGAGCTTGACTTGTTCCACCGTAAATGAGTTTGAGCCGCTCGTCGAGCCTCCGATGTGGTCTGATTCAGGTGTATTCTCGAAATACATATGGGAAGAAGAGAGAGAGGAAGAGATTTATTCCCTGTCTTAAAAATTTGATTCGCTGTATTTTACAACTTCAGTGGGAGGGAGAGAGAGTAGATTTTTTGGGTTTGCCATTTATTATTCTGTGGCTGCCAGAGAAGTGAGAGAGAGATAGAGAGGGGCAGGTGATTGACATTTGAGCCATAATCTATTGGGTGGGAATTTAAAATACCAGGCATGAATTTAAAATACAAGCATGAAATTATTATTGATTTTAAAATATTTAAATTTAATAATTTCGAGCCAGCTCGTGAGCCGAGCCTCATCAAGCTCGAACTCGAGCTCGTGACTCGATAAGTTAGGCTCTCAAGCTCGTTAAAGAGTAGAGATTGAGCTAGCTCGCGAGCCGGCTCAGCTCACTTACACCCCTAATTACTTCCTGCAATTGTTCCCGCATTCTTACAAGGCCAATGGTTTGTTGTAGACGTACTAAATCATATCAAACTTGCCATTTGTAGAGGGAATGCTCGTCTCTCTAATCTGTATTGATTATTTTTGAACTGGGTTAGGGCATTTTGCACTGGATTATTTTGCAATAATCTTTATGGGATGTTTGGTTACAATAATTTTCTCTGTTGTAATTTGTCGTTTATGATAAGAAATATTTGATTTTATGTAATCTCTAACATCAAGATAAATCCTATAGGACCTATACTAAGTTGATGGCTTAATAATATTAATAAAAATGTATTTTTATCAATATTAATTAGTTAAATAATATAATATATTTTAGGAGAAAATAATATTAAATTTATTGTATTGTTATTGAAATGGTATTTGTAACTCTAGCAATATTGTTATAATTTATAACAACGAATGGAAAAGGCCTTTTGATTTTTAATGTTCAAGTTTTTTGTATGGAATAAGGTTTTTTTTGGCTGTTTTATGAGTACAAAAATTATTAATAAAATAAAAATTTTCGTTATTATTTAAAATTTTTGTTTTTGGAAATTTTTTTAAAAATTAAGTTTAAAATAAACTTTTTTTTTTAAATTATATATATATATATAGCAACTTTATTTAAACTTTTTAATAATTTTCATGCAAATAACACAATTATTTATATTTTACTTTGATATAAATTTGTCTTGTTAGTGAGGAGAGATTATTACATATGGAGTTCGGATCAAGAGAATCATTTAATTGTATGACTTTAAATACTAAATACTTTTACTTTTTATAATCCTAAAATCGAACAGTTGCCTTTCCGAATGCAGAATAAGATTCGAATGCTGTGTATTTACTGCTTATTTTATTGCGTATTTTTTGATACATAATTTTTTCTTGGCAAATAAACATCAAATAAATAATACTCATTAAATAAATAATAAATATGCAAAAATTACGTAGAAAAAATTATGTACAAAAAAAAAAATCAGTAAAATAAACATTAAATATGCAGCGTCCCAACCTTAATCTAAGTTCTAATTGCGTATACAATAATTTCTCCGGCGAGGGAGGCTCTATTGGCGGCTATGGTATTGTTAGCCAGGTTTCATCCAAGGCCGCTCAATGTTGTAGGCCCAGCAGTGGAATGCTAACCAACCTCGTAATCCATTCAAAACCCAATACGCACCTAAGGGCCGCGGCTTCAATGATTCTGTCTGTCACTCGGGCCTCAGCTACTCTTCGCCCATTCCGCCCTCGTTGCCTTCTTCCGATCTCATTTAGACGCCCAGTCAACTTTTTGGTGCGTTGGAGGGCGATGGCGTCTGTAGCGTCGACCACCGCCGGTGGAGTCGAGCGAAAAACCGCACCATACGGCTCTTGGAAATCGCCGATCACGGCTGATGTCGTCTCCGGTGCGGATAAGAAGCTTGGAGGTATCGGCGTTGCAGGCGATGGCCGTCTCATTTGGGTTGAGACCCGGCCGGAGGAGGGAGGGTAGGCATTGCTACTGTTGGCCTTTATTATCTTCGTCTTCTCTCAGATTTTAGTTCCTGTATAAAACCCTTGGGTTATGATAAGTCATGCGTGTTCTGGTGTCACTGTGTTTATTGGATGTATTGCTTGATTAAATCTTTTCGTTTCTGGGTTGTACGAGGATTTCACTAATCCTATTCCCATTCGGGGGAATGATAATTCAACAATGATATGATTTCTCAATAGAGGTTTTATGTTGAAGTAGTGTTGCACTTCCGCTAAGATTTTGCCAGGAGGAACATTTTTCTGCCTGAGTAAGTTTTTTATTTATTTCCTACGCCATATACCTTAATTATTGCTTGCATTTTCTTAGCTTTTCTTCCTATTAATCTTTCTGTCCACATTAACTTTCCTGTATAGTTTTTTCTGTGCAGTTTGTTCCCAACCTTGATAAATGCTCTTTACATTTATGGACTTTGAGATGTTGCTTTCCATGTCTTTAACTGGTGTATATATGGCGCTCCGCTTTTTTCAGAGGAAGTGGAGCTTGTGCCTTTTCTCTAGATGTTTTTGCGGTTTCCCCGCTTTAAACTGAGGTTTTATGGCTTTTGGAGTTGAAATTGGTCACATTTTCTTTCCTTTTATTATTTTGATCATGATCTATATTTTATGCATTTATGTTCCTATCCTTTAGTTATTTTGTCATCTCAGTTGTATCTTTTAAGCATGAAATAGACTTCTGTGCAATTACTTGTCTCTGATTCTCATCCTTTCAATAGTATATTATCTAAAGTCCTATATTTTGAATTTATCTATTTTACTCAAGTATTTAATTGGCTCAGGCGTGCTGTTCTTGTCAAGGAATCAGAAAACTCGGGAGATAAGCCTATTGATGTCATCCCTTCAGAATTTGCTGCAAGAACCTTGGCCCAAGAGTATGGAGGGGGTGCTTTTTCTGTCTTTGATAATGTGGTGATATTCTCAAACTATAAAGACCAACGGTTGTATAAGCAAATTATTGGAGGTAAAATTTAAGTGCCATAATTATCATTTTTAAGCATAAAGATGGATGAGATCATATTGTTACCTTTTTTTTTTAAATTTAATTTAAGAAAATATGTACATTTCTTTCTCAATTTACTTTTACCTATAAAGCCAATGGTACAAAGGCGGGTTGATACGCTTCTTGATTTACATCAAGAAGGGGAAGACACCTTTCAAGTAGGTGTAAACTTGGAGTGTAAGTGAGCCGAGCCAGCTCGTGAGCGGGCTCGAACTCGACTCGGCAACAAGCTCTCGAGTCGAGCTTATCAAGCTTTGAGCTTGATGAGACTCAACTCCTCTGCTCGTGAGTTAGCTCGATTTGGCTGTTATCAAAATTTTAAAAAAATAAAAAAAGTTATATTATTTGAAAAATACACATTTTTGTAAATACATATTAAAAAAATTATGCAAAAGATTAATTGAATTTAATGCTCTGGTGACTTGATAGCTACTTTTGAACTTTCCAAAAAGCATATATTATTTATTGATTTTTTCAAAAAAATATGCTTTTACTCTTTTACCCGAAAAAAGTTACTCTTTCCTCTTCTCTATCGGGTTGCTGTTGAGCTCATTAATGTTTTTGTAGGACTCCCGAGTTCGACTACAGCGTAACTTCGACGACCCGACGCCCTCATTTTATATTTTCTCCTACAAGCCAAGCTCAAGGTTCGAGTTTCTTGACCTCTTCCGATGTTCCAAGCTCATGATTCGAGCTCGAACCCACTGTCTCCGGTAACTAGGCATCCTGATTTCCTTATGTGAGGCAAGAGCGGAGCTCGAGCTCAAGCTGAATTCAAGCTTGTCTTTGAGTTTATGAGCTGAGCTCGAGTTAGCCTAAACTCGAGCTTGACTTGGCTAGTTTACATCCCTAGTGAAGACTCCTTAAGAAAGAAGAAGTGAAAAAGAGAGACTAGAGAGGGAGAAATCAAAAATATTTTCATTCCATAACCTTTTCTTACAAAAGGTGGGGTATGTATAATGCTTGAGTAGACCACATTTATAATATAGATTAAGTTTATAATATAAAACTGGTCTACCTAACTCAAACTTAAAATATAATACAAGAAATTAACTAGTGCTTATTACATATGTATAGACTATGTACTATTTACTTTGTACTTTATTTGGCTAAAGATATATTTCTGATGTATAACACTCTCATCGCCATATAAAACAACATTGTCCTCAAGGTTGAGAGAAGGAAAAGACAAAGAGAGGGTTGCAAAATTTTTCTCTGTGACATCATCTGGGAATTTAATTTCCATTGCAAGAAAACTTGGCCACATAAGAAGGAATTCATGGTGAATGTTATAAATAGTGTTAGTTCTGTGTGGAATTTGATTGATCAAACATGTTGTATTGTGACCTCAATTAAGTATGTCAAGCTTGTTCAAGAGTTGTAGGGGGTCCTTACCCTATTTGGGTTTTGGTACCTTGATGCTATATACTCGAGCGCCCTAGCACTACACACACTAGTGCCCTGATGCTGTACACCTGAGCTTCCCGGCGTTGTACACTTGAGCATCCTGGCGGATGGAGGATGCAAATTAAAGATTTGTTGTAATAGAAGTTGTATTTACCGTTGAAAGGAATCACCAAGAAGCTAGATTCAATGAATATGAAGGAGTGAGAGGTTTTTGATCAGACAACCCTAGGTTTGATTTGACTTTCACTTTCCTTATCGGTTGCATTCAATAGTAAATGAGAAAATTATAGTCGATCTCATGGCTGCAGAAAGATGTATGAGCAGCTGTTGGTCTCAAACTAAGTGTTCTTGACGAATAATTTATTAAATATGAGGATGTTAAATAACACTTCATTAGTAGAGCACTTGATTAATTTGGACACTGTGATGAGTTAGTTATGTTCAGTTGGTATCGAGTTTGGTGATGAGGTGAGAGCATTGCTTTTTTATCTTTTTTGTAAATAGTTGGGATTGATTGATTACTGTTGTAGTGTTGAGCAACTCTTTAGGGAGTTCAAAGTTGAACTTTGAGGATATTATGGAGTTAGTGCTTAATGAAGATGTTCACAGGAAGAAGAATAGTGAATCTTCAAATTCTGCTTTGAATGTTAAAGCAAAAGAAATGGGTTTAGAGAGAAATCCAACTAAACAGAAATTTAAATCAAGGAGAGGAAAAGTCTGTTTCAGATAGAGTGAAAATTATGTGTTGGAACTATGTAAAGTAAAGTTTTTTGAATAAAGGCTATATTGTTTAAAAGAAGGCTAGTGATGGAGGTTAAGACAAAAATCACTTTGCAAATATATCTATAGAAGAATTTTAGTCAGTTTCCCATGATTTTGTCTTTGGATAATACTGAATCTCAGTTTATATAGATTCATGTGCTTTATTTCATGCAAGTTCTGACAATGAGGTGTTTAAGAATTACATAGAATGTGATATGTGCAAATTGTATTTGGGAGACAACACATCTTGCAACACTGTAGGACAGAGAGATGTTGATATCAGAATGCTGGATGGGTCAACTTGGAGACTCAAGGATGTTAAACATGTTCTTTATTTGGAGAGAAATTTAGTTTCTATGAGTTAACTTGCAAATTTAGACCATGTGACATCATGCACATGAGATTCATAAAAGGTGATAAAGGGGATATGATTATAATTTGTGGTAGTATTGAAAATACCCTATATGTTATTAACAAAATATCATATTCTATTGGAGTAGTTGATTCAAATGTTAATGGAGGTGTTTGACATTGAAAGCTTGGCCATATGAAAGCTTGGCCATATGAGCAAAATATGCATTCACTTCTTGGCCATATGAGCAAAATATGCATTCACTTCTTGGCCATATGAGCAAAATATGCATTCACTTCTTGGCCATATGAGCAAAATATGCATTCACTTCTTGGCCATATGAGCAAAATATGCATTCACTTCTTAATAGAGGAAAACTTTTTGGTTTAAAATCTATAAATCTAAATTTTTGTGAAGATTGTGCATATGACAAGAAATAATGGGTGAGATTTTTAAAAATTAGTTCAAAAGTAAAGTCAAAGAAGCTAGAGTTAGTGCATACTGATATATGAAGTTTTGTGCCAGTTTCTTCTATAATAGATTCTCCTTGTTTTATCACTTTTATTGTTGATCACAGTAGAAAGTTATGAGTGCATTTCTTAAACTTCAAAAATTGAAGACCATTGTGAGATTGAGACAATTTTAAAGTCAATGTCTTAGGTCAGATAATGGTGGCAAGTTAGTTAAGAAGTTGAGGAGTATTGTACTTCAATGTTTAAAATTGCGTATTCGGGTATTGAGGGCGTTTTTCATTCGTGAGGCGAGGCGTAAGCCTCTAGGCGTTTTGAGAGCGTAAGCCTCAAATCAAAAATTGCGTAAACATAAAATGATAATTTTTTATATACTAACGAGTGAATAATATTAAACATAAAAAAGCATAAGATATGAAGTGAAATCAAAATATCCCTATAATAAGACAACATGAAATATAATTCAACTCAAAATTCTATCTTCCAAATCCATATTCTTTTCATTACATATAATTCATTTCCAAAATAATATAGGCAATGACATATCACATAAGAACTCATAAGTCATCAAACGTCATCACTAGGGGGTTCTTCATTTAAATCATTATTATGATGAATTGTCTCTCCCCTTCCTCTCCTATAAAGTCCAATGTTGGGCATTTACTTCAAGATTTATGTAAGTTTTAATATATATAGCGTGAGGCGAGGCGGGCCTCAACCAAGTTGAGGCGCAAGCCTCATAAAAAAAACTCGAGGCGTAAGCATCGAGCCATTTTTTACTGGAATTGCACAAATGCGGGCCTCAAGGCGAGCCTCATATTGCGCAATTTTAAACCATGTAATGTACTTTGAATAAGATTAGAAATGAGTTCACTATTTTAAGAACACCATATCAGAATGTTGTTATATAGGGTATGAATTGAATTATTACTGAGCGTGCTAGGAGCATGAGACTGCATGCAGGTCTACCCAAATAGTTCTAGGCAGTGGCAATAAATATTACTGTTTATCTGATTAATCCTGGTCCCTCAGTTCCTCTAAATGAGGGATTACCTGAGGAAGCTTGGAGTGACAAGGAGATAATTTTATCTCACCTTAAAGTTTTTGGTTGTTCATCTTTTGTTCATGTTGATGCAATATTCATAAGTAAGCTTGATCAAAATCTATAGTGTATATTTATTGGATATGGCTCAGATGAATTTGGCTATAAATTTTGGGATTATTAGAATAAAAAATTCATCAGGAGCAGGGATTTTAGATTCAATAAAAATAAAATGTACATGGATATAAATGAGACTCCTGTAAATTTTTTCAAATATATTTGTTGACCCGTAATTGGAAATAAAAAAAAATCAAATCAAATAAAAAAAATCGTACTCGCTCTCTGCACTCGCACGACGTCGCCGCCCTTCGCACGACGAGGCCATACATCGCGTCGTTTCATCGCACGACCTCACTGGAGCGTTAAAAAAGAAACGAAAAGGAGAGGATTTCGGCTCTGACATCTCTCTCACTCTCGCTCTCGCTCTTTTCTCCCTGTGCGAATCAGAAGTTACGACATTTTGATCGGAGGCGACGACGGGAGCTCACTGCGACGTCGAGATCGGAAGTTACGGCATTTTGTTCGAAACCAACAACTGGAACTCGCCGATTGTGAAGATAACTTTCTATCTCCCGATCGCTTCTCCGGCTCCTTCCAGGCTGTTCAACCGCGCTCCATCGACGACTTTCTCCTCCTGTCGGAGAGGAAGTTACGACATTTTGACTGGAAGCAAGAAGTGGAGAAGGAGTGCTTACACTTAAATTCTAGTGGTGAAGTTGACTATAATCAGAGTTGTGCTGAGGATAGTAGTAGTGTAGAGTTTACATCTAGAGCAGATGGATGTAAAAATAATATTTCTTCATGGTGATCTTGAAGAAGAGTTGTACATGGTGTAACCTCAGGGATACATGGTCACAGGTAAAGAAGA